GTATTATTTACTTAAATATTATCTAAAAATATAATGTATATAAATATAATAATTATTCTAAAATAATAATTTATAACTATATAATTACTTTTAATATAGTTTAATATAATAAAATAAAACTATAAGATAATATAACCTGATTAGAAGTCGAGACTAGAATTTGATTCTGTGACCTTAAGATAGATTCGCCCCGCTATGGTGCTAACAGACTCAGTGGTGTCTATCTCCCAGGATACAACTACTTTTACTTCCTTCGATAGTAGCACTGCGAACCAAAGGAATAGGCGAACCGGCTCGGTGTAGTACTCTCTGACTCAAACTCGGAAAAAATAAGGGCTCGTACCCACAGACACTTATAGAAGAAGAGAGAGGAAGGAGAGAATTCAGAATTAGAGAAAAGGATTTTGAATTGGAGTACTTTAGAATGAACCCAAGGGGGGTTTATATAGGCGTCATAGTGCCTTTTGGTTTTAATATTTTTTCGATGTGGGACAAACATTTATCACATTTTGCAAACCCATTTAGGCTTATCAAACACTTTACTTTGGAGCTAATTTCTCATTTATCTAGAAACGGATTTGAGAAAGTAAATATACCACGTTTATTTCCTTGCAGAGAGGAACGTTCTCGTCTATAGATCCGCAAAAAATTCTTAGTGGAATCTATTCAAAATCTCATCCAAAGTTTATGTTTTTAATGCCCCCATTTTCAACAATCCCTCACATGAATGGAAATTTGCGTAAATTACAAATGAAAAAGATGAAGAAGATACAGACACTAGAGATAGTACTATTGAAAAGTAACTGCATCAGGATAGGCAGCTTTTGGCCTTAAACCTTCCCTAGTGTATTACTATTGGATTTACTGGCTAACCAGTGAACATGATGTCTTGAACTGTTCAGCCGTTAATGTAAACCAAGACAATAGCAAACACACAGTTCCTTCCTGCACAAAGTTTGTTCTCATGGTTGTGTTCATATGGCCCTGAACAATTCCTGTTATTTTATAAGTGCTCTAGAATACTTAGCCTTAGAAGTTCTCATAGAAGCGGCCCCACTTCACACTCATATAGGTGACTTTTTATTAAGAGTATCCTACTATACCTCACTTAAATTTTCAAAGTATAAGAGTCATTAAAAGCATTGCATTTCCTACTCATCGATGTAGGTAACACTGTCTCACTATAGTAATGGGTTGAAGATTAAATCTTCTCAGTGCTTCTGGTGAGCCATTCAAAATTTCAGTTGTCCCTTTGAACCTAGATCTTGGGAAATCCAGTCAACTAGGTTGGGTTTCCATTAAGACGACTTTTTAGCTTTCGGCTTTAATCCCATTCCTCTCGATGAACTATACACTTACTCTCTTGTTAAACCTTTTGAAAACGGATCCGCTAAATTATCTTTTGACCTGATATAATCTATTGAGATTATCCCATTTGAGAGCAATTGTTTAACAGTATTGTGTCGTCGACGTATATGTCGAGACTTACCGTTATACATATTACTTTATGCCCTTCCAATTACTGATTGACTATCTTAATGTATACACATAGCGGGCACAGGTTTAGGCCAATTTGGAATATCATCTAAGAAATTACGAAGCCACTCAGCTTCTTCACCAACTTTATCTAAAGCAATAAATTTAGATTCCATAGTGGATCTGGCAATACAAGTCTGTTTTGAAGATTTCTAAGATATGGCACTTCCTCCAATAGTAAAGACATAGCCACTGGTGGATTTAGAATCCTTCGTATCTGATATCCAATTAGCATCACTATATCTTTCAAGTACTACTAGATATCTAGAATAATGTAATCCATAACTTATGGTATATCTTAAATATCTTAGAATCCTGATTATTACAGTGCAATGGTTCTTTCCTGGATTACTTGTATATTTACTCAATTTATTAACTGAGTATGCTATGTCTGGTCGTGTGCAATTCATCAAATACATTAAGCTTCCTATAATGCTAGAATACTCAAGTTCTGTTATGTTAGGACTAGTATTTTTCGACAAATGAAGATTTACATCAACAAGAGTCTTTACAAGACTACTATCTTTTTTATTAAACTTTTCAAATATTTTCTCAATATAGTGAGATTGAGATAATACTAGACCATCTGATGTTCTAGAAATCTTAATTCCTAGTATGACATTAGCTATGCCTAAATCTTTTATATCGAAGTTTTTGGTCAATATCTTTTTAGTAGTTTTGATTATAACATCATTACTACCCATTATTAGCATATCATCCACATATAGGCACACAATGACATATCCATTTTAAGTGTTTTTCACATAAACACATTTATCACACTCATTAATTCTAAAACCATTTGACAACATCACTTTGTCAAATTTTTCATGCCATTATTTAGGTGCTTGTTTTAATCCATATAAGGATTTTATAAGTTTGCACACTTTCTTTTCTTTTCCTGGGACAATAAAACCTTCAGGTTGTTCCATATAGATTTACTCCTCTAATTCACCATTCAAGAATGCAGTCTTAATATCTATTTACTGTATTTCTAAATTTCGCAATGCCGCAATAGCTAGTAACAATCTAATGGATGTTATTCTTCTGACTGGTGAATATGTATAAAAATAATCCAAGCATTCTTCTTGCCTGTATCCCTTAGCAATAAGCATAGCTTTATATTTATATATTGAACCATCAAGCTTCATCTTCCTCTGGAAAATCCACTTATACCCTAAAGGTTTAGTACTAGGAGGAAGATCTGCCAACTCCTAAGTACGATTTTGCATGATGGATTCAATTTCACTATTTATGACTTCTTTCTATAAAGGAGTTTCAAGAGAAGACATAACTTCCTTATAACTTTGTGGCTCATTCTCCAATATATACGTCAGAAAATCAGGACCAAATGACTTAGACGTTCTAACTCTTTTACTACTTCTAGGTTCTTCCTTATTTTCATCCTATAGAGACTCTTGATCTATATTTTCTTGTATATTTCTATTAGCAATATCATGATTTTTTTTAAGAGGATTTTTACAAGGAAATATATCTTCAAAGAAACAAGTATTCCTTAACTTAATAATTGTATTGATATGGATGTCAAGAATGTCTGATTTATGCATAAGGAAAACGATATGCATTATTATTCTGTGCACATGTAGCCTATGAAAATACCATCAAAAGTTTTTGATCCTATCTTAACTTTCTTAAGAGTAGGAACCACAACCTTAGTTAAACACTCCCACACTATTAAGAATTTATAGGAAGGTTTTTGGCCTTTTCATAATTCATAAGGTGTCACATATTTTTTTTTTTTTTTTTTTTTTGAGGTATTTTGTTGAGAACATAATTAGCAGAAAAGAAAGCTTCCCCCCACAAATTCTTTGTTAAACCAGAACTTATGAATATAACATTCATCATTTCTTTTAAGGTACGGTTTTTGCATTCAGTAACACCGTTCTGTTGATGTGAATAAGGAGTTATAGTTTGATGAATAATACCATGTTCTGAGCAAATGTCAGCGAATGGTGCTTCGTATTCACCACTTCTATCACTTCTAAACACCTTTATATTTTTGCCAAGTTGATTCTCAGCCTCATTCTTGTAATGTTTAAACATTTCCAAGACTTCATCTTTACTTCTTAACAAGTATATATAACAATATCTTGTGCAATCATCAATAAAAGTAATAAAATACTTTTTTCTCACCTCTGGTTGGCACAGATTTTATGTTGTAAGGTAGAACATTATTTTCTGTTGCCACATTTTAAACTCCGCCCCATTAAATTTTTCGGGCTTCTCCTCATGACTGACGGGAACATTAGGCATAGTAGTACTTGTACTTGCCATTCGTCTTATATATATTAAATATATATACCATAGTTAAGTCAAATTTACAGAAATAAGATAACAACAATAGTTAAATAATTAAATTATAGTATAAGCCAAATATGTCTTAAGATTATATTCCAAAAATATGTGGTATAACTATACCATATACTATAGTATTATTTATTTAAATATTATCTGAAAATATAATGTATATAAATATAATTATTATTATAAAATAATAATCTATAAATATATAATTACTTATAATATATAGTTTAATATAATAAAATAAAACTATAAGATAAAAGAACCTGATTAGAAGTCGAGGCTAGAATTTGATTTTATATCTTTAAGACAAATTCACCCTGCTATGGTTTTAACGGACTCAGTAGCATCTATCTCTAGTATAAGCCGAATTTATCTTAAGATTGTATTCCAAAAATATGTAGTATAACTATACCATACATTAAAGTATTATTTATTTAAATATTATCTGAAAATATAATGTATATAAATATAATTATTATTATAAAATAATAATCTATAAATATATAATTACTTATAATATATAATTTAATATAATAAAATAAAACTATAAGATAAAAGAACTTAATTAGAAGTCTAGGCTAGAATTTGATTCTATGTTCTTAAAACAGATTCACCCCGCTATGGTGAATGGACTCAATGGCCACTACCACAAATTAGGGTTCTTGCCACAAGACACTTCGTGACAAAACTTTCAAATTTCGTGGCGAAATCCTTTTAGCCACGAGGAACAGCTTGTGACTCGATCGTGGGTGTAATCCCGTCACAGAATGCCAATAACCACGACTAAAAATTTTCATGGCAAAATGTGAAACTTTTGCCACAAATTTGAACTCGTGGTAAAATACCTTCTATTGCCACAAGCTATCTCATGGCTAAAATATTATACTTTCGTGGCAGGTAGCAATCCCGATATAGGAATTCATCGTCGCTAATTCAATCCTTTTGCAACGAAAATATTTATCGTGGTAAAATAAATCTTTTCCCCCACGGAATTTATTCGTGGCTATAAATTTAATTGCCCACGAATATATGTCGTGACAAATATCAAAAATAGGCCACAAAGTTTATTCGTGGCTCTAATTATAATTATCCACGAGTATATGTCATGGCAACTATCCAAAATAGGCTACGAAATTTATCCGTGGCTATTCTATTATTAATAAAATAAAATTTAATTTAATAACCAAAAATATATATTGTGACAAATACCAAAAATAGAATACATATTTTATCGTGGCACAATAAAAATTTATGACAAACCTATAAATTATTAATATTATAAACAAAAGAAATAATATATAAAAAAAAAATTATCACATCAACACGATTATGCAAACAAATGAATACTTGATATTGCATAAGTTACACCAACCAAAAAATGTATTGTTTAAAGTCCATCGCATAACAAAATGAGTCTTAGCTTCTAAAACAATTCAACTCCAATAATTTGGGCCAAAACAAGCTAGTATCTTAAATAAAATGTTTCAAGATCTTAGACAAAAATGAGCTATAGATTCCTAAACAAAGGGTTCAAAGACCTGGACATAAAATACTTAAACCATCTTAAACAAAAAGAGCTTGAATTCTTGTAACATGAGCCCATCCAACAATCTGCAAAACCAACGATGATTAAAATACAATTAGTACCTATGTCAAAAAACAATAAAAAATAAAAAATAAAAAAAGAATCCGAAGCTGAATTTATAAAATATATTACATGAAAGAAAAAGAGAATAAAAATACCAATAGAAAAGATTATTCAACTTCTAGAGGTTAAGGAATAATATAAATACAGAAGACAAAATATTATTAAGATTTTGAAAAATCAACATTAAGTAAGAATATCTACTTTGTGAAACAAAATTGATCATATTACTTTTTTATAAGCTTGTCACTTCTTAATAACTTACAATTTCTATTAGGTGGAGAATTAGACCATGAGTTTTAATAACTCAAGTCTCGATTTTTGACTATTTGGCTATTCATTACACTAAGTAAGAAGTTACTAACTTTATTTTTAATCAACCAACAACCATTCCGAGACAAAAACTTAACTAATGAAAAATTAATCAATAGCCTTGTATTGATGCATCACAGAAATCTTCTCCTCTTTTTCTTCTCCCACCCCACCCTCAAAGAAACAAAAATAAAAAAGTTATAGACAATTGCACATTTATAAACTCACCTTACAAGTAAGTTCTCCTTGAAAGGTTAAGCCTCCAGTAACCAAAAAGTTTCCACTCACTGCTGATTTGCGCTTGTGTAAAACCTTCTCACACTCTCTCTTTGTGAACAAAGCTTATGTTGCTGGGATTTATATCATTGTTCCTAACAGTAGGACAAGGTCCCATTTCAGATATCTGTGTACCAAAGTCCACTGGAGCTACTTGGCATCCATGTAATAAGAAGCAAGAGAGCAAGTTCGACTAAAATAAAGACTCTGGTGATCAATACCGGAGAAAGCTTCTCGAACTTCTGGACTCCGATGGGAGTGATAGACGTGTTTTAGCTGCTGCCAAATATGACAAATGCGCAATTAAGGCATGGTCGATAATCCCCCCTTTTTTTTTCTTTTTTTTTTTTTTATATTATTATTATTGCATCCGTAATCAAAATCCTAATGTTACAATAATTTAGTTTGTACTTACTTGTCACTTAGTTATTGGAATCTAGAAGATTATGTATGTTCGAAGAATAAATTGATCAATCTAGTTGAAAATTTTGACTAACGACAATTAAACAACATTGAAATTAGTTGTTAATGAATTATGTGTTTTTTTACTTATTAATGAAGTAAGTTTGTGTTGACTTTAAACAGGATAAAGTCCATTTGTCTCCACTTATGGCATCCACCAACTGCACATATTCATCTTCGTGTTAGCAGTTTTCCATCTACTTTATTCTATAATCACCTTGGCTTTAGGCAGATTAAAGGTATATTATTAAACTCTCTCTCTCCCCCTCTCTCTCTCTATATATATATACACGTGTATCAGTAAGTATATAAATTTTACGCGCGTATACTTATGTATGTGTGTGTATATAAATATACATTGAGTTTCTAGCAATGAATTGTAGATGAGGAAGTGGAAGGCATGGGAAATGGAAACAAAAACAACATAGTATCAGTACTCACATGGTAATTTTTTACTTAGCAAGTAATAGGCCTCTTCTAACATAATAGTGCACTTCTAGTTCTACCTCATGACTAGCTAATATTATCTGCAGTTTGTTTTATTATTCAAAAATTGATCTATTATATACATTAATTGTTACTACTTATAGGCTTTATATGGAACCATTATGCCACTATTTACTTAATTAATAATATCTGATGATGCATCTTAAGCATTCTTACAAGTACAGAATTTCAAATCAATATGCAAAAGCACAAACATTTAGACTAATCATGCAATAAGCATATGTTGAAAATGAGTCAATGAAGACAATGGGGTTGTGTCCCGCAGATCCAGAGAGATTTAGGTGGACCAAAAATATTGTATTTCTAAAGGGAGAAAAATCTTAAAACCTGCAACATATTGGCAGAAAACCAAAGGATATATCAAATGTTCAAAACTCTCAACATATATCAGATTTTCAACTCATATAAATTATTCTTAAAAATCTATCCAAAACAAAAAAAATTTGCAATTGAAGCGCACAAAACAAATTCACATGAAAAAAATCAAGATAGACCCAAATTCATTCTTGAAACCCTAAATACAAAATTAAAACTTCAAAATCCCCTGATTGTAAATCAAATCCCCAATAGAGGTGAGAGTTCTTACTAGTTATAGAGAGGTCGAGTGAAATATTGACGTAAAGAGCGGATGGATCAAATCCCCAGTAGTAGACCGTTAAAGATTAGATATAGACATACCAGGAGCAGCAACACCAAAACTCACTGCCAAAATTAAAAATAAAAAACATTAGGCATCTCTTGATAGCATATATCTTGAAAACATGTATGATTAATACATAAAACCCTAAAGAAGTTCTCAAATTTTTTACTTACAAAATGGAAGCCTAGCATTAACTTCGGTCGTCTATGGTGATGAAGAAGTAGCCGATGACGGTTGTGCGCTCATGAAGTGATTGTGAGTGAAGGTGGAGCGAGAGATTCGGTCTGAATCGTCTTCCGTAATCTATATATGAGATAAGATAGAGAGAGGCTGGGATATATTGAAAAGTCCATCGTCGAAGTAGGAATCGAATAGAAAACTAGGGCTTGAGTTCTGTTAATAGAGAGAAGGTTATGTTTGGCGAAGAAAGGGGCAGCAATACCAAAACAATTAAAGGTTGGGTTAAGGGGCGGGAATTTTAATTAATTTAGCTAGCGCGCGAGGCCTAAGGGGCGGGAATTTTAATTTTTTTTAGGTTTTTGGAACAAAATATAAAGAATTTCTTGCGAAGTGTTTATTAAAAAACTAATTTTTTTCATATAAATAGAATTGCTTTTTACTTTAATAAAAAATATTCATCTATTTATAAAATAAAATAATATTTTATTTTATTTATTTAATAAATTAATTAAGGCTGGAATTTTATATTTTTAGGTGACAAAATATGAAGAATTTCTTGCAAAATGTTTATTAAAAAACTAATTTTTACATAAATAGATTTTTTTCAAACCTAATATTCTCATTTATTTCAGTATCTCACTTTGTCTTTGCATCTTTTTTTTTTCCCTTAGCTCCAGCCGTCAATCATTACAAACCTAATCTTCCTTACTAGGACCTCTACCTCTCCGCTTCAAACTGGATTTTAATTTCATCTTAGCAAGGATTGATTTATTTTCTTCAAACAGATATGTTAAAACATTATATTTGCCCATGAAAATTTGAGGTAGATTTTGAAAAGGGAGAAATATAAATAGTTAGTTCAATTTTTTTTAAGAATAGTTTTCTATCTTAAAAAAATTTAAAATAACATAAAAAGGTAGGAAAGACAATTTTTCATGAGTTGTTTTCTAAAAACAGAATTAAGAGAAGATACATTCAATATTAGGATTTGGAATGATTGGTGGTCAAAGCTAAAGGAAAAGAAATATGTGGATGACAGATACACAGATGGGACCAAAAAGAGGGAAAAAAAAAAAAAATAGACATGTTGGGTTTTACACTAAAAAAATGAGTATAATCCATGTTTTGTATTTTTTTTTTTTTTAAGTTTAAAATAGGTATCAACCTCTTATTAGGACACGTTAGTATGCAGGACAAAATTTGTCTTGATGGCCAGGACTGAAGTATTATCCTTATATATATATATATATATATATATATATATATATATATATAGGGAGTAAAATTTGTGATAGAAATTATAATTAAAATAATATACACCATAAGTATAATTTAATTAGTGGAATAAAATCCCATTAAACCATAATTAATATAATATAATTTTGTTTTTATAAAAATATTCCCAACAGGAACTGCTTCCCTCTTTGGCTAACACGTGTCCTTACGTAATTACTTGTACCAAATGGCTTCCTTTGATGAAGTCACGTGTCGCTTCATGATTGTACCTTATTTGCACATTACTTTTCCAATTGGAAACATTCTCTTTTTGTTCATGCTAAGAAACATACTTATGTACATACCCATCGACTCCCATTGAGACTTGAAACACTTTAAAAGGTTAGCGAGTACCACTAGGCTACATCGTTTAGTATTTCTCTCTATTGACAGTAATATAAGTATCATTCATTATCTCTTAATTAAAATTTTTATTGTTATTGTACTATTTTTCGTCGATTGATCAATAAAATTGTTAAATAAACATATGTGTGTGGAATTATTATGTTACATTTGATTTATTAATATTTTTACATACATTTATATTTGGTTTCGTTCATTATGTCTAATAGAGTACATACCTTAAGTCTTCTTCTCAGTGACACCAATTTAAGTTTATTCATTATCTATTAATTAGAAAACTGAAATAAATGAGTACATATGGGCTGAGTGTTAGTCATATCTAATAACTTCAGCTTTTTAGTCAGAATACGAAGCACCGGGCACGTTATAGTATAATGTTATAAGGGAAGATTTGTTCTACATCGGATCCAGATGGGAAAGTAAATTGGTATATATGGGTTGTATGTTAGCCACATCTTTTGGGTCAGATCGCGAAGCACGTACTTGGCCTGTTACATTTGATATCAAAGTCAGACTTATACTTTAATCCAGTGTCATGCCAAGCGCCCAGCCTATGCCCTTTTACCCTGTTTAATGACTAAAAAATACATAGGTGGGATTACTATGTTCCATTATTTGACTATATTAATGGATTTATATCTATAATTAAAAATTAAAATCATGAAATTACTTGTAATGAAAAGAAAAAATTATAATCAAGTCCTAATATCTTTTATTCCATTTAATTCCTAAATCACTAAATCTTTTATTTATACCCTTACTAAATAGAAGTAAAATTTTGTAGTTGTAAATTTATTCAAGATTTGGTATATGATCTATATTTTTTATTATATCTTTAATTTTTAATTACTTAAAAATATTACACTATGGATTTATATATATAAAGATAATGATTAATTTAAATTCAATATAAGAATGTTTGGTATTTTTTTTTTTTTATCTTTTCTGTATGACAAGGAGTGGTATTTAAAAATGGTCAAATTTAAAGGAGATGCCATTTTGGAGTTTATTAATAATTAATTAATTTTTTTAGGAATTTGGTGTTGTAGACCCCTTATTTAAGGAATTACAAAAACTAAATAAATAATTAATTAATAATAGTCAACAAAGTTATGGATTGCGTGGCAAAATAGTTCCTAATTGCCACGAAAATAAATTCGTTGCAAAAAATGGCATTTCGCCACAAGGATTGAAAATTCGTGACAAAAGATACTATTTGCCACGAATAAATCATCGTTGCGAATTACTAATAAATTTGCCACGAAAATAGTTACGTGGCAATAGACCATGTCATAGCCACAATTGATAATTCGTGGCAGAATCTATCTTTTAGCCACGGGAAAAAAAACTTCGTGCCAAAAAAATATTTTTGCCACAAGAATAACATCATGGCAAATTGTAAAGCGATTTGCCACGAAAATATATACGTGGCAAAAGAAACATATAATTGCCACGAATTTTTATTTGTGGCACAAATAGCATTTTACCACAACTTTTTATGTCGTCTCTAATTCAGCATGGCAAAATTGACATTTTACCAAAAGTTTTTAGGTTGTCCCTAATATTCGTGGCAAGAACTAGTATTTGCCATGAAAAATTTACTCCGTGGCAAACATTCATATATTAGCCACAAGAAGTTAATTTTGTGGCCAAAAGATACTTTTTGCCACAAAATTTTACGCGTGGCAAAAAATTTCGTGGCAAAAACCCAAATTTGTTGTAGTGGGCGTCTATCTCCCAAGATAGAACGATTTTTACTTCTTTCGGTAGCAGTACTATAAATCAAAGGAATAGGCGAACCAGCTCAGTATAGTACTCTCTAACTCAAATTCGGACTCAGAGTGACTGACTAAACTTAGACTAGGGGTGACTAAGGCTCAAACCCAAAAATAAGGGCTCGTACCCACAGACACTTATGCTACGTTTGGCTTGTAGGAATAAAATGGAATGAAATGCCCATTCCAACCATTCATTTGTTTGGTGTGCATGAATGAAATGAAATGACCATTCCAATGGAATGAAAATTCATTCCAGGGAATGAAAATCCATTCCATTACTAAACCTATGGAATGGCCATTCCATTCCATAGTAAGATTAAATATTTTTGTAATATTCCCAATAAACCCTTCATCACATTCCAATAAGGAAAAAATATTTTGTATAGACCAAAAATCTTTCACATTTCATTTTTTACGTTTCTCGAGCTTTTTTATTAGATGTAGTAAAGGTCGTTCACATTTCCTCTCTGCTGAATATACCCAGAGCTGCCATTGACAAAAAGTTACAGGACCTTCAACCATATATATATATATATATATATATATATATTAGCCTTTACATCAGCTTCTTAGGTTAAGTATTCAACCCGTTTTTAGATAAAATTGTGCTGACAGAATATTAATTAGATTGATTTTATTAAAAAGTAATGAAAAGGGTATTTTTAGGAAAAAAATCATTCCATTTCAGATTTAATGATAGTCAACCAAACAATTGAATGCTAATAATTATTTCATTCCATGACGATTCACCATGTCACACCAAACATTAGAATGGTAATACTCATTTCATTCCATTCTCATTTTCATTTCAAGTTATATTCCATTTCATTCCTGCACACCAAACGTAGCCTTATAGAAGAAGAGAGAGGAAGGAGAGAATTCAGAATTAGAGAAAATGATTCTGAATTGGAGTACTTTGGAATGAACCCAATAAGGTTTTATATAGGCCACATGGTGCCTTTTGGTTTTAATATTTTTCAGATGTGGGACAAACATTTCTCACATTTTGCAAATTCATTTAGGTTTATCAAACACCTACTTTGGAGCTAATTACTCATTCACTCGGAAACGGATTTGAGAAAGTAAATATACCACGTTCATCTATTTGAGGAGAGGAGCGCGCTCGTCTATAGATTCACAAAATTTTTTTAACAAAATCTATTCAAAATCTCATCCAAAATTTATATTTTTAATGCCTCCATTTCTAACAATTTCGATGCCCAGCGTAATAGTTAATCTAGGCCTTGCAAAGCCTCATCCCAGAACTGTATTTATTTGTTTGTGCCTGTGCACCGATTCCTGTATCCTGATTGCTTCTATATTTGAGATAACATTTTATAGTCAATTTAGGTTGTTTTGGGAAATTCATTGTAATATAAATTAATAAAATAAAAATAAAAATAAAAATAAAAAGACAAAGATCATTCCAAAAAAAAAGAAAACCACCAAATGAAAGTCCCATAACTGAACAGTCAAGTATTTGTAAAAAAAAATAAAAAATTCAAAGGTCAGAAGAGACCAGAATGAATAGCAGCTGAGACAAATTTTACGAAAACGATGGTAATCAAATCTGCGGAGATTACTTAAGTCAAAGACCCGACCCGTATTCCTTCCAATTTCGTGTTCAAAATGCGTGTTAAGAAGGATTTGAAGCTGAAAGATCAACGCCCCTTTAAGATATTAAAAAAAAAGAGTTGAACTAGTGACAGTGGAGAAACATGTGTAAGTTTGTGCTTAGTTAATTAGAGGATGCCTCAATCGATCAACTAATTTTTAAACATAGTTGAACTAGGGTTAGGTAGAATTAATATTTGACTCAAAAGTTTAAGTTAGTAAATGAGACTAATACCCAACTTATATAGTTATGCACTTTTTTATTCGTATTCGATGTGGGACAAATTCCCCACCCGATATCCCTGATTCTGTTATGTGTACCTTTTTAATTTTAATTAAGAAAGAAAGTTTTATCTATATATATATATATATATATATATATATATATATATATATATTATTCTTTTTATTCATATTTTAAATTTTTTTTAAAAAAAACACAGGTCATTT